AGGTACAAAAAAATGCATATATTGTATATGAAACATAAGTGAACTTTGTGCTTAGACTTAAGTCCCATCCCCAATTAATCTCATCATGCAATAATTATGTAATAATAGATATTGTTATAGTATGTAAATATCCCCAAATCTGAAATACTTCTAATCCTAAGCATTTCAAATAAGGATCTTCAACCTACATACAGAGGCACAGTGTGCGCATGCACACACACGTGCACATACACACACACGCACACACACTTCACATTTCAAGGAACAGCCAGGTCATTTCTAGTGTCTGCATGAGTTTACATTTCTACCAGCAGTATATGAAGGTTCCAATTTCTCCACATCTGTGTGGAGAGATTTGTTATTGTCTCTTTCTATTATAACCATTCCAGTGGGTATAAAATTGTATCTCACTGTGGTTTTGGTTTGCATTTCCTCTGTGTGTGTGTACATTTTGAGACATGGTCTCACTATGGAGCCTAGGCTGGCTCTGAACCCACAATCCTCCTGCCTCAGCCTCCCAAGTGCTGGGATTATGGGTGTGTATCCCCACACCCAGCTTTTCCTTTCTTTTTATATTCCCAGAATTTCTAGTTTGTTTTATAAAATCTTGTATATACACTAATCCATTCACGTATTAATTCATTAAATGTTTATTAAGAATCTACTATACACCAGGCTCAGGCTTTAAGGCCAGGAATACAACTGTAAACATAACTGTCACATTGGTGAGGAGTAAGCAAAATGCCAGTGCCCATGAGGGTGGTCTTTAGTCCTCAAGTGGTTCTCCTCCAGGATGCCCCACCCCCCTCACTTCCTATCACCTCCACATCTATTCATCCCACTGTTTTGAGTGTGACTTATAAAGAACCAATATACACTTAAGCAGATCAACTCCTATCCCAGAGGTAGGTGTAAGTTCAGATTTAAGAGTGTGACAAAAACAAGAATGACTGCTGTCATCACTCTTCTGCATGCCCAACAGAGAGCCATCTATTATTGATTCTTATATATTCTCTCCTTTCCTGTTAACAACTCAACAATTTTTCTTGGGGAACAGTCCTTCTCCTATACCCTTCAATCATTCAACAGATTTTTTTTTTTTTTTTGCACAGCTTCTGAGTGCTGAGAATAGAGCGGTGAACGAGACTGACAAAGTAAATCTGTTCACATGAAGCTCACATTCTAGGGATTTGGGCATGTGTTGCAGTGGAGATGACTGTCCCCTTAAGAGTAGAAAGTCCCCATGGTTCTAGTGGCTGCTTAAAGGAACGCATGTGACCTACACAGAGTCAGTCATGAGACTTCTGGCTATGGTAAGACAGGCGCTCTCTTCTTTCTCTTTGTTCAACCAGATTTAAGCCTAGAGTTTCAAGGGGTCAATGTGAATGGACAACCTACCTAAGCAAAATCTAACAAATAAGAAAGCAGAACCAAGAGACAGAGAGAAAGTGAACGTCTTAAAGGCGTTGTTTAAGTAGCCCTAGACTTCTCAGGCTAACGGACTGATTTATTTATTTATCTTGCCTAAGTCACTTTGAGCTGTGTTTTCTCTTTTTGCAACTGTAAGAGCCCTAGTTAATACACTGAGCATTTTTTTTATGAAGCTTAAACAAAATGAGGTAAGCCAGGATCACTTTAACTTCAATAAACAGAGCTCTTCTCAAACCCAGTTACCAGGGCCCAAGCACAGCCCCTCCCCTGACTCAGAACTCATCCAGCAGGAACCTGTAATAGATCCTGCAGTGAAACTTGGCTTTATCCTCCTCTTTGGCTCTTTCCTGAGACCTCAAGCTTTTTGTCAAGGAGAAGGCTTGTCAGTAATGACAGGAATCTCTTCTCCCTTCAATAACTGGCTGCTCTCATTCTCCTCCCATGACAGGCTTGTAAAATTGGAAACGATCTGACAGATGTGTCCGAGAATCTCAGTGTTTGCTCCCTTCTTGAATGAAACTCCAGTTATAACAGTAAAACTTCTGAGGACTGCTGCCTTTTGAACTACTCCTCAAAGTTTAAGGAAATGAAATAAACTCAATTTTTTCTCTTCCTTTTAGGAAGGAGAGGCAAAATAAAGCTGTTTTCCTGAAACTACTCATGAAAGCAAACTCTCAATGTGACAAAAATGGTAAGCACTTCTCTGTGAACAAAAGAGGCAGAAGGTATGAGAAGGCAGCATGAGCTACAGGGTCCATGAGAAGGCAGGACTGGAACCTGGGAGTTTCTAATGCTGAGGGAATAAGTGCACAGGCTGGTTCATAGGGTCTAGGTAAAGGTGTCCTTCACCTGCTAGGTTGTAGCCACATCACAATTCCCCAGTCATCCAACCTCAATTAGCTTGGCTTAGCTATTTGACAATGGGTATACAATACAAAACAGAATGTTGTATACTATAAACATATATGACTTTTGTTAATTATAAAAAATAAGTATGACAGTACTTTTTAAAACTCAGATTGAGCAGTGAGAAAGAATAAGTTATTACAAAACTCAAAGTCTGAAGTGAGAACACGGCATTGGGGGTGAGGACAGAAGATCAGGGAAGGTTTCCCACAAAAGGAACAGCCAAGCGTGGTCTTGAAAGGTAGGTAGGAATCCACCAGTAGATGGGGTAAAAAGCATGCTCCCAGTAGGGAACAGTCTGGGATGCCAACCTCACACCTGGCAGATGTGATGGTTCCTGATTACTCAGGAAACACAAAGCAGAATTTGTGTATCTGAATAAGAATTGAGACCTTTGAAGCCTGGCAGAGCAGTTCAGGACCCTAACCCCAGCTACTCAGGAGGCAGAGGCTGGAAGATCCTGAGTTTGAGTCCAGATCAGGAAAAATTAGTAAGACTCTGTCACAAAAACAAAATACAAAAAAGGGAGGGATTGGGGGCATAGCTCAAGTGAGAAAGGGCTTTCCTAGCATGCTCAAGGTCCTGAGTTCAATTTCTAGTACCTCAAAATTAAATAAATTAAAATAAATAAATTAATTAAAAACAGGCTAGTGGTATGACTCAAGTGGTACAGTGCTTGCCTTAGCATGCTTGAGGCCCTCGGCTCAATCCCCAGAACCAGGAGGAAAAAAAAAAGAAAAAGAATTAAGACCTCTGAAAGTATTCACCTTGGAAAATTATATAATCCTTATTCCAAGGATATTTTCTCTGATCATTTCTAAGCTGTCATCACTCTTTAGAAAAGCCTTCATGTCTTCTGAAGATGAATTTGTTTTTTAATACAGCCTAGACTTTTATGGCCACGTGTGATGAATGCAGTCAATGATAAAGCATGGAAATACTTGTTTATGTGAAAATGGGGTAGGTGAGCTGTAAAGGAACATTACATGTTTTCTTGAGTAACTGATAAGCTGGGCCCCAAGTCAATTTGAAAAGGGAAATAATATTAAGCAATATTAGACAGCAGAGTCTTTAAATCATTTGACTGTGGCACGGGGCTAAGATGTGTTGGAGTCCTAAGCTGAATCTTGAAGGATCAACAGGAATTGTCCAGGCAGACAACAACATAAATTCTGGTACTTTTCAAAAGGCTCCTTGGAGTCACAGCTCCCAAGATCTGGAAAATGAGTCCAGAAGCCATTTGAATTTTCAAGGAAAAAAAATGCTGGAATAAGATACTCTATCGAAATAAGAATATTGATTTCCTTCTAAAATGTGTTATGGCATTCCAACACATGCTGGTAGTGGTTATTATTTGAAAGCCACACTGGACAGCTGTTTTACAGAATCTTATATAACTACCAAGGAAGAAAGCAATCTGAACACCTCCAGAAAGAATGACTATATCAGCACAACAAAATACACCAACAGGAAATTTCTAGAAGTTATTTGATTATTTTTCTCCATTTATATATTTGCCAGCCTTATTCTTTTACTGTTTCAAAAGTGAGTCTGCTTTGTAATATAATTTAAAGGGTTCCTTAAAGGGAATTAATCTGAATACTTAAAAAGTATTTTTAAAAAGATATATATTTGTCTTGCTTTTCTACAATTAATATACATATACAAATATACATTTACAAAGAAAAACTAAGCCTCCCCAAATTATCATGGTTTGATTAAATGGCCTGTAAGAATCAGTGTTAAGTTTCTGATTTTCATGCATGAACTATGGTTCATATTGTTAAGTGTGCATATTGTTTTTTGCTTTTTTGTTTTATAAACAGGGTGTTTCTTGCCATTCCTATACCTGCACTAAACTTAGTGTTTATTTAATTTCTTTACTTCTTTGTTGAAATGTAACATGCAAAGTTTGTAAAGGAGAAAAGAACATGAACACATTTCATAACAAGTTTAACTTCAGAATTTAAAGACACTAATATTTTCTGTTCATGGTTAAGTTTACTACCCTAAAAACTCAGAACTTGCTGAGTAGTATGTGCCCCAAGAAATATGTAATCTACTCAGAGCTATCTGCCACTTATAAACTTATGCTTAATTTGAAATGTTATTGCAACTGTTTTTTTTCCTTACTTTATTACTGTGGGACTAACAAATAAATCCCACACCACATTGTGTGCAGACTAGAATCTATGATGAGACAAAGAAAGAGACATATAAAAAAAATTAAGATAGTCTTAAGGTCTGAATTAATCATCATTAACTCCTAGAGAATACTGAATTAGGGAACTCTATTCTAGACAAATCCCACAATATAAGATGTTGTTTGCAAAAACTCAATACCAACACCCACTCCTTTGTTCATATTTCAACACAGGCTATAATGTACAATGCTAAATGATAAAATTTGATAGAATTTTAATTTCTTGTTCTAGTCAACTAAAACAGTTTTACATGATAACATGAGCAGTCATACAATTATTCCACAGATATGGTTAATTTCAATTGTTTACTCTTATTTTATTACTCTTATTTTAAACACTTTTTAAAATTAAAATAGTAAAAAAAAAATGAAAACCAAAAACAAATATCTATCACATATTTCAAAAAGTTTTAATATTCAACTGCTTCTCTGCATTAAAACACGTGAAAACGTATCTGACCTGGAAGTATGTCTGACATGGGTCACTGGCGTGGGCAATGGTGCAGGAACTAGGTTACAGTTTGCAATCTAGGAAAAAGAATCATTTGAGAAATTAAAACTCCAAATAACAAAGCAGAAAATGAAAAAAATATAGCATTGAAAATCCTTCCAAAAACTGCTAAAAGCCATGAACAGATTTTTGGCAAATTATGTATAAATTTTTGCTTATTTATAGTTTCTCACATCACTTTTGACTCAGATTTGAATTCCTATGGTACCACATTCCCACAAATACTTATTAAGCTTTTCCCATGCTATACCTATCTGTCAGAATCAAGTTTCCAATACTTACTATCATTAAATACACACAATTCAGAAGCCACTGAGGAAAAGAACTAGTACACTTTGCCACATAAAAATTAAAACTTTCTGTTTAGGACAAAAATTAAAAAGAATATAAACATGATAGAGATTTTTTAAAAATCTGAAAACAGCACCACAGAGGACATAAAAGGGCTTTATACAGAGAGAACCCATGGAATCATCAGGAAAAATATGAACAGTCTGTAGGAAACTAAGCAAAGAGCAGAACAAGTCCCAAGAGAAACACAAATAACTAACCTCACTCAAAACTCAATGTAACAAAAGCTTAAATAACCATGATTAACTGACTTTTCTATATCAGCACACAAAGATCAACAAACTTGATAACCTAAGGCAGGGGCACTGGACGTAAGAATTTTCAAACATGCTAGCAGGAGTTAAAAGTGATGAAACTTTTTGGAGAGCCACTTCCAAATATCTGCTCAGCAATTCCACTTCTCAGAATTTCTTTCCAGATAAGTGCATTTGGATTCTATTATTCTAAAACCAAAACCCAGGTAACAGCCTAGCAGTTCCTCACTGGGCAGCTGGCTACTTAAAGTATGATACATTTACACAGTGGGGTACTGTGCCGTCACTGGGAAAAATGCACCAGATGTGTGGGCACTGATATGAAAAAGGCTTCAGGACATGTCACTGAGAAGTGATGAATGTGCACAGCACAGCACGGTTACTTTTATTCACTTATTTTTGCACTGCTGGGGATCAAACACGGAGGCTGTGCATGCTGGGTCACATCCTTACTCCTGAGTAAAAACTGTAAGGACGCACGCGCACAGGCACCCACTTACACAACCATGCACTTACACAGAAAATTTCTGAAAGGCAAGTGAAAGATCTAGAAACAGTGGCAAACTGCCAGTTTACCACATTCGATTCATCGTAAGGAAATCTAAAAACAGACCTTGTTTTCAGTGAGTCTGCTCTCAGGAATGTCGCTTAGAAAGATGACCTGTTGCGTTAGGTTAAATGTGGGCACTGCATGATCCCATCTATATAAAGTACAAAAACAGGAAAGACTTCTCTATATCAGGACAGCAGTGTGGGGGGGGGGCTGCGGAAGAGGAAGACGCAAGAGAGTAGCCTCAGGAACGCTGGCGTGGTAATGAACTGTTTCTTGACTGGACATGACGACTCCTCAAGCTGTGTCCTTATGTGCTCGTTTCCCTGGGTGTACTACACACTTCCATGCAAACTTACAACAAAGTGAAAAGCTGGAGGCTTTCTGAAGCACAATTCAAACTAAAAACTTTATGTTTTCAGACTAAATTCCCATCTAACCTTTCCAAATGAGTAGCGTTTAGTGGGCATTACTTCCAACTTCATGACTCAAGTAATGAATGACCTGACAACCTGGGCTGCTGGCCCACAATACATTTTTAATTACCTTCTTCCATATTGTCATGCAGGCTCATTACTGTGCTATAATTAAAGGGGTGGGGTCCTCTCAAGCTGTCCTAAAACACCAAGAAATGCCTCTTCTACCCGTTTCTTTGTCCTATGCTTTTCCAGCCTCCTTAAAAGTATTTCACAATTCTGTTTCCTTTTCTTTTGTCTTCAGTGTACTTTAAATTACAAGCAGAGACAGAGATGGAGTGATTGACAGCTCACAGAAACAAATACCAAGAGAGAAAACCCAAGAACATGAGTATTTTGAAAAGGTGTGAACAAAGCTAAGAAAATGTAGTTTTTAGTGTTCCTTGTTCCTGTCCCTAAATCAAACTCCAACAGGTTGTAGTAAAGTTAGGAAGAAGACACTTTGCTGGTCACTTTATGTTGAAAATGACAATACATATTCTCTACTTGCTGTATGCCATGTATTATGCTGTAGCAGGAGCAAATGTAACAAAGAACAGGTGTCGCACTGGACAGTCAGGAAATGCTCCCCCAAGAAAGTGAGGTTTAAGATGCAACTTGAGGACTGACTAGGATTTAGACTGAAAAACATTTATTAAATCCCTACCATGTGCAAGGCATTTCCTAGCCTTGGAGATGAAGCACAAATATACAAGCTATTTTTCTTTGATGAATGAGTCTAATCTAGCAAGACAGCTTCTGAGGGGAACTTATGGCATGAATTAATTGTACATAAGCAGAAACTTGAGAAAACATAAAAGCAGCACTTGGAAAATGGGAAATACCATGCAACTGTACAGTTTTTAGACTAATCTACAGCTATGCTATGTAATGCATAGCTACACTGTGTGACGGGGGGCTTCTGAACACTTGAAAAGTGACCAGCACAACTGAAGAACTGAATTTCTTAAAACTATGAATAGCCAGGCACAGTGGCCCACTACTGTAATCCCAGTACAGGAGGGCGAAGAGCAGAAGGATCAAGGTTTAGGCTAGCCAGGGCAAAAATATAAGACCTATTCAAAAAACAATCCCAAAGGGCTGGAGGCATGACTCATGTGGTGGTGTGCCTTAGTTGAAACCCCAGTACTGCCAATAAAAAATACATACATCTATACACCCCAGAATTAACTTAAATATAAATTTATAAAGTGACAGCATGAAATACTTAGTTCAGGTTGGAACTTCTTGGATAGGCAAGTCTATCTTTTCAACTCTAAATTTTATGAAATCTAAACACAAACCAAATATTTCTAATGAATATTATGTCTGAGTTCAGTGCTGTGAGCATAAAATATGATTTTAATGACTCAGCATGAAAAACAAGAAGACTTAACATGAAAAGTAAAATGTCTCATTAATACTTTTAAAATACTGACTGTATTCTGAAGTGATAATATTTTGGATACACTGAGTTAAGTGAAAGCATTTAAATTAATTTCACTTTTTTCTTCTTTTTTAACATGTACTAGAAATTTCTAGTCACCTATGTGGCTTACGTTATATTCGTACTGGAGAAGCACTGACCTAGAGAATGAAGACAAAGTCCCTACCTTTCCCATGAAAGTAGAGACGGGCAGAAATGCCACCTGTGATCCTTCCAGCATCTACTGCAAGTGCCCTGACTCCATGAAAATCACATTCAGAGCCCAGTGATACCAGGGACTAAAGGCAGGGGGCTGCAGGATTTGTATTAAGAATACAGATGTGACAAGGAAGGGGTAAGGATAGGTAAGACACCTAAAAAACTAGCTAGCATTGGTTGCCCTTAACACAGAGAAACTAAAGCAGATACCTTAAAAGCAACTGAGGCCAACAGGAAAAGGGGAACAGGTACTAGAGAAAAGGTTAGATCAAAGAGAATTAACCTAGAAGGTAACACCCACGCACAGGAAATCAATGTGAGTCAATGTCCTGTATAGCTATCCTTATCTCAACCAGCAAAAACCCTTGTTCCTTCCTATTATTGCTTATACTCTCTCTACAACAACAAAATTAGAAATAAGGGCAAAATAGTTTCTGCTGGGCATTGAGGAGGGGGGAGAGGGAGGGGGCGAAGTGGGTGGTAAGGGGGGAGCAGGGAGGAAAAATGAACCAAGCCTTGTATGCACGTATGAATAATAAAAGAAAAATGAAAAAAAAAAAAAGAATACAGATGTGACTTTAAGGTAAAGCACAAAACCACCTAAGTGAAGCTCTAACACCAACATTTTCCCTTCTAGCAGTGTCTGCTGTGTCACATTCATGAAAATCCATTATGCCGATATGCCTGTGCTAATGCTACTAGTGCCCAGTCCACATCTAGAAGTCCACAAAAAGAGCCCAAAACAAAGATCATGGGAGCACCATTAAACACACAAGAAAGTGAACAAATAAACACCCACTTCTATTTTAGTTCAGTACAAGAGGCTATGTACTTTTAAACAATTCCAAAGAGAAATGAAAGATTTAAATGAATTTGGACAAATAATTCCACATGACTTATCCTCCCCAAATATAGGCAAGCTAGTATGATACATTCTTCCTTCTTCATTTATCTCGCTTTCTGTCCAACTCACTCTCTCTTTAGACAGTCTTTGGTTTGAATATGGTTTGTGTTGTTCCCCCACCCCACCCAGGGTCCTGTAATTAAAGACCTGATCCCCAGGTTGGTACTGAGGGGAGGGGGTGGAACCTTTGAGAGATGAGGCCTAGTGGGAGGTCCTAGGTTATAATCCCTCAGTTATAGCAAGAGGGCTGTTACAAAATCTCACAAGCTTTCTCATGAGCTCTTGTTCCACTGACCTAACTGGGGGCGAATGGAGATGCAGAAAGGACAAATGATAGAAAAGGACAGACATGCAGAATGTTAGGGCCAGGTGTGCTGGGTGCTCAAATGGAGATGCACAACAGCCTCATTACTTTTTTACTTCTTTTCTTTTACTCTGTTTCTTTTCTCGATCTTTAAAACCTTACTTTCAAAGTCATTCTTCTTTTCTGTTCTTTAAAGTCTCTTTCCTTAGACCCATTCTGCCTCGTTACTTCTTTTCTTTTACTTTGCTTCTTTTCTCCATCTTTAAAACCTTACTTCTAAAGTCTTTCTTCTTTTCTGTTCTTTAAAGTCTCTTGCCTTAGACTCACACTGTCCCATGTCCCATGTTCTTTTTTAGCTTTTCTTTAGCATAGCTTTTCTGAAGCCTATGTATAAGGTTCTTGATGCAGAAAACTGCTCAGGTGGAGACACACAACAGCCAGCAGCAGTAGTGCCGGCAGCCTCACAAGCAGCAGGCAGGCAGCCAATCAAAAACCCCATCCTCCTCCAGTGAGTCTTTTATATACGCTGGTAAACAAGAAGGTGGAGCAACAGTTCTGGGGAGGAGAGTGACACTGTAACAAGAGAAACCTGCTCTCTACTTCTCTGAATGTAAACAATTTAGGAAAAGCAGTTGTGATACATTTTGCCTCTGGCTCTGTTCTGTGGCTGGGGGCCAAACTCAGCCTGTAGATTACTGGGCACAGCTGTGCTTATGTCAGGTTCTCACAGGCTTCTCGTAATCTGCTCCCCACAACAAAACCCTGAGTTTGGCCTCACCCAGTTCTTTCTCTGGTCCAGGTGTGAGATGCAATCACTTGCTTGCTCCTGCAGCCCACCATGATGTAACAGTCTTAGTCAGTTTTCTGTTTCTGCAACAAAATACTGAGATAACTTATAAAGAGGAAAGGTTTATTTTGGCTCACAGTCCTGGAGGTTTCAGTGCATGGTGAGTGTGCCCCTGTATCACACCTCCCACTAGGCCCCATCTCTTAAAGATTCCACCACCTCTCTATAGTAGCATGGACTGAAGACCAGGCTTTTCACACATGGGCTTTTAGGGGACATTCCAGATTCAAACTATAGCAGTGACACAGCCCTTATCGGAGCTGGCCCAACAAAGATGCCATGTTTTTGAATCTCCAAAACTGTGAGCTAAAGAACCCTTTTCTCTTTATAAGGTAGCTACCTCAGGTATTTCATCATAGTAACATGATGCATGATGCATAGTAACATGAGGCACCATAACTCTTCTCCTGGCCTGCAGGCTAGTCCCTCCTTATGCCTCCAACTACAACCTATCCCAGATCCACAATGCATTTATCCAAACACTGCTCTGTTCACAATCATTCCCCTATCCCAAAACCTCCAGAAATGAGTTCTTCTGACCCAAATTAAGTTCTAAAACCCAAACGATTCTGGAATCTCTTGTTTATTCAAATCCTTCACTACCTTCAGGTAGCTACTTTCCTGGTAACTCAAACCCATTGCAAACGTACCAGATCCAACACCTCCTTTCTAGGACAAAGAGCTTATAATGACCCCTTTACTCTCTTCAAGTGAAATTTATAGATCATGTAACTTACCCACACACATAAAAGGAGAAATGAAACGAGGGATACTTTTCAATAAGCAAATTCTCAGGCATGAGTCGTCAGATGCTTGTCCACAAGAACATCCCGTTAGCAAAACAGCTATCTGTGCACACAGAGTGGTGAGGGATGTACTGTATTGACAACTCAGAAATGAAACTACGCGTGACTGTCATTAGCATCAACTTCAAATGCTGAGTAACTCTTAGAAAATTCCAAAAGATACTAAATACAATTATCTTTCAATTAGAAGTTTTGACGTAGGAAAATATGGTGTATATAAAAGCCATAAAATATATGTTTAGAACTTCCAGGCACAGATGATTATTCACATGTGGCTCACTTTCAGGAATATTTGGTAGGGCATTTGAAAGCTCTGTAGGAAAAGGCATTCTTTGTTGTAAGGATAGCCTTGAGTAATGCAACATATTTATCATCCCTACTCTCACCCCCAAAATGCAAGTCATGAATTCCCTTCCTAAGGAGTTCTAGCCACGTCCAGACTCCTAATTTTGAAAATTAGGATCTCAGCCCAGAGTTCTCATCTGACACACAGGCCCCACATGATCCTGAACTAATACTTAATGTTTGTAAGGCTGTTCAACTGTTGTCTTGTTCAACTGCAAACTGCAATTACCACCAACCTGACAGTGACTCTGAGGCTCAAGCAAGGCATGACAGGTTGTTTGTTCCACTTAGTGCCTAGCACATCATAAACATTCATAAATAATTGCTATTAACAATGTAAATATTTCCCTACACACATGACCTGTTTTCTCGTCTTGTCTGCAAGCTTTCTGAAGAAGAGCAAAGTGTCTTAGAAATCTCTGTACACCAATACAAGTACCCTATAAACTCTAGTGGTCCACATCAGCTGTCTTCTTTCCCCACTCTCTCCTGACTTCTTGTGAAAATGTTCACAAGTAGTAGGCTAAGTCAAATTCTACTGGAAACATTCCTTCTGCCATTATTGAAATCATCATAACCTGCCAAGCACAGAAAGAGCTGTCAAAACACCATCTGTTTTATGCTTGCTCTTAAAAATTTGCAGGGTTATAAAGTGATGCCACAATTGCACCTATCTACATACCAACTCAATCTTACTTCAAGGTTTTACACCTTCCCTGAAGAACGTCATCTCTATTTCAAGATCTGTAAGATGGAACGCCACATGAAATGAGAAGGGTACCAACACTGTGTGCTATTTGTGGGATATTTATTATGTGACAAGCAGATACTTTACAAAGACAATCTCATTTATCACTTCCAACAACCCTCCAAAAGAGGTACTGCTATAATGTCAACATCACTATGAACTAAGAAACAGAGGCACAAAGGGTTAGGTGACCTGTCCAAGGTGTCTTCGAAGGCAAGTGATGGAGCTGGTGTTAGGACTCACATCTGTTTATCTCCGAAGACCAGACTCATGACCGTGACGCCATGCTCATCAGGACTTGAAGATGACTCCACCTGAATTAATTAATGTGGCAAGACAATTAAATTAAATTATGGAGACGGTAAACTCGTTCAAAGTACACTCTATGCAGGTACAGAATTATCACAGTGAAGTCCTCATAGTATTAATGCATGCTAATCCAAAAATAAAATAATAATTTTAAAAATACTGCTGGCAAACAAAACCTGAGTCCTCTTTCCTGACAGTTCAGGAAGGCAAAACAAGAGAGTATAAATGAGAGGAGGGTGTGTGAAATTTTAACTCAGTCTGGAAGAAAGTTCTGAAGTCAGACACTGAAGCAAAACCTCACAACAGACAAATATACTTGAAAACTCCTTTAAATTGCCTATTTATTACCAAGTCACAGTTTCAGTTAAACAACTAACGTATGTGTAATTTTGTAATGTACACTTAGTGGAGAGTATTTAATAAGTGTATATATACATACATATATTTATTTATATATTTTATTTCCACAGAGAAAAGAGTACACACTGAACTTACATATAATATTGTACTCTTTTTAAATTTGGGGGACATTAACCATTAGCAGCAATAATTTTCTTGTCATCCACAGCCCTAGGCAGTACATACCTGTTAAGAATCTCTGTTCTGGGAAATCCTAAATTGACAACTAATATAATTTTAAATAGAGAGAAAAAAGCTTCAGGAATGGTAGTGCAGGGATTAATCCTATCTCCAGTCTCTATACTTTACCTAAAAACATTTAAGGAGGTGGATTTGTGGTTCTAGCTCTTTATCTTATGCTATTCAATGTTCTCTAAGCCAGATTTCAAAACTAATTCTAAGAATACTATCAAAACAAGCAAACTGAGCATAAACAGGGAAAAGCCAGTTTTCTAAAATGTACCCCAATGGAAAACACCAACAATGGGAAAAGAAATATTTTTCAAGACAGATCATTAAATGTAGGGTTTTTTTTCCATTTAAATGTTTACTTTTATAACTATAAACCAGAAGATTTTAAAATGAAGCAAAAGATTTATGCTTCTCCCACAAATGTACTTGATCCCTGCTTTTTGTACTTTAAAGACATTACATCTGCAGTTTAGAAATGACAGCAATGTTAATGCACTAAGAAGTGTCACTTTAAAATAAGCTGCTGGATAGCTGTGTAGCACTGATGGCATTAATGCCCCCAATCAACAGTTTCTCTGTGTCCTTACCCCCTGCTCTGTCATTCTGTAGTCCCCTTCCACTGGCTCTGGGCTCAACTACGTGACTTGCTTTTGTCAACTGGATGTTACCAAATGGAATGACCCAGAAGTCAAAAACTGTGGGCCCAATTCCAGCCCACTGAAAAAGACATAACCTAGCCTTCAATCATGAGAACACACCTAGGCTGGCCTGTTGGAAGATGGTGGAGACTTGGGTAGGGTAGCTGAGTCCTCTTGGACAGCCATACTACACCAGCCAAGGCCAGCTAACCATGAGGCATGTGGGAGCTGGATGCAAAGATCAGCAGATCCGTGGACTGCACCTGCAGCTGACTATAGACACACAAGTGAGCCTGGCAGAGTCCACACAGAATCGCTCAGCCATCCTGAAGATAGCTATTGTGTAAGCACAGGATTTTAAGACTCTTCCATCAGGCAGCATTATTGTAGAGATAAATGATACACTGATTATACTCACAACACCCACATATGATTATAGAAGAGCTGCTGGGATTAAACCTAAGTCGATCAAGAAAAGAGATGATGCTAATGTGGAGAATCGACATTGTTCCTGAGGCCTGAGCCCTCACCAGGTTCCACAGGGCTGTCTCTGTCAATACAGGCTGCATCTTCAGCCTCTACTACTAATAGTTCATTCACAGCCTGCCTCCCTTTACACTTTGCACATTAAAATACACAAAGACAGCAAATGTTAGGAATTTATAATAAGGACATATAAGCAACATTATTCCATGAGGAAAAAAAAAATCAGACAGCAGGTAAATGTCCACCAATAGGAGAACCATTAAAGAATTTCACTCATAACTGGTATACTAGGCATCACTCAACACTGGTAATGCTTCTGTATGTAACTACACAGAAAAGATCTTTACTAAACATTACTGAATGAAAAACACTGCAGTAAGCAAGCCTGCCTTATTTACGGATTTATTGCACATGGTTATGACCAAGCGTGATCAAAAAAAATTCCTGCGCACGCATCATGTATTGATTTGAAGACGCTCTCAGTCAGTCCTGTGTTTTTGTTGGTTGTGTTTAAACTCTAGGCATCCTGAGTAATGATGGGTTTTCCCTTTGGTAGTTTCCTTGGAACCATATTCCTGTGGGTACCAAGGCTCTACTGTGGCTATAAAACAGTATGATGAGAACACAGGCGTTCCCTACACAATGCTTTCCATTTCTCTGTCTGCTTAAAAATTTTCATACTAAAAAGTTGGAAGAAGGGTGGTATGTGAAGTGGCATTGTTTCACAAAAGTTTTTAAATCTTTTTATAGTAAAATAGAACACAGATTACAAAAACTACACAAAACAAATAGCCTATTATTATAAAGAAAACACTTATAATTACCACCCAGATCACAAAACAGGCTTTGCTAGCTACCCCAGAAGGCCCTCCATGCTCTGCTTCCCTTTCTCCAAAAGTGTGTGTGTGTGTTTAATTGTGGCTTGAACTCAGGACTTCCTGCTTGCCAGGCAGCAGGTGCTCTACTGCTTGAGCCATGCCTTCTACCCAGGTCTGGACCCCAATCCTCCTACTTTACATTTCTTGCTATCTCTGAGATAACAGGCACACATATCACACTTGGCTTTTTTCCACTGAGATGGGGTCTTGCAAACTTTCTGTCTAGGCTGGCCTCACATAAGCCCCCAATACCAGGCTAAAAAAAGTAAACTCTTGAATTGGTGGTAATCATGTCTTTGTATTTTATCATCACTTTATTACCCAAGTGTACAACCCTAGTGAGTATAGGTACGTGTTGTCTATTTTTTAAAAATTTGACTAATGTTTAAGTTAAATCTAATCTAAACTCATTAAAGAATGAAGGCCCTCTGAGCTGTGGACCTTCCTCACAGCATGGGTGTTGTTGGTGCAAGCTCACATTCCTCTATCCTCTGAATTTCCTGCAAATTGGCAGCTGGATTCAGGAGGCCTGGACAGACTGAGATATTCAGTCCATTGGTGTAGGATATTCCATCAGGAAGCACATAATATCAGGTTTTCACTTGTTTCTAATGTTAGTGACCATTGTTATTAGATGTCTAGATGCATGGAATCCCCAGAATTTGCACAATGATGCTATTCTCATTCTCTCTTTCTATCACTCCATCATCACCTACTGGGTGGGAACATCATGTTTAGAAGATGCTCTTTCCCTTCATCTATTACTTGGTTACCAGTAGTACAGTTCATCTAAGGAAGGCAGGATGAATACCTGATTCTTCCCTACTACTTTCAAACAATGTTAAGTTTTATTAATCTCAGAAGAGTAAGGAATAAAGTTTTTTCACGTCCAAGCTTTCATGGGTTTTAACATACTTGCAATTCTTAATTTTATGGCCAGTAGCATTTCTTTATTTGGCTGTCTGATGGTCCTTTTGACATCCCCTAAGAATCTTTGATTGGTTTCTTGCTTACCTAGTGTCTGGAGAGTGGTCCAGCCTTCCACCTTATATCTCTGAGTCACTTTTTCATCTGAAACTCACTCCAGAAATTCCATAGAATTTCCTTCCCTGACTTACACACCTTATTAGATGTCTAGATGCATGGAATCCCCAGAATTTGCACAATGATGCTATTCTCATTCTCTCTTTCTGTCACTCCATCATCACCTACTGGGTGGGAACATCTTAGAAGATGCGTCTTTCCCTTCATCTATTACTTGGTTACCAGTAGTACAGTTCATCTAAGGAAGGCAGGATGAATACCTGATTCTTCCCTGACTACTTTCAAGACAATGTGTTAAGTGTTCTATTAATCTCAGAAGGTAAGGAATAAAGTTTTTTCACGTCACCAAGCTTTCATGGGTTTTAACATACTTGCAATTCTTAACTTTTATGGCCAGTAGCAGTTTCTTTAGTTTGGCTGCTGGGTCCTTTTGACATGCCCCTAAGAATCTTTGATTGGTTTCTTGCTACCTAGTGTCTGGAGATGGTCCAGGCTTACCTTATATCTCTGAGCTCACTTTTGTCATCTGAAACTCACTCCAGGAAATTCCATAGGAATTTCCTTCCCTGACTTACACACCAATACATTTGTGTTCTTTATGCCAGCAGGTAATTTTTACTAAATAGAAGAAACCTTGGCTCATACTTTCTTTCCTTTGAGTACCTTAAATATTCCAGACTATCTTCTTTCCACATAAAGACTCTCTGTTAAGGCATCTGAGAGCAATGTAATTTCTGTCACTGTTTTTCTCTTTTTATTTCTAAATGCACAAAGGACTTTCCTGTCTTTTTTTTGGTAGCAATGGGGTTTGAACTCAGGGCCTCATTCTTGCTAGGCAGGTGCTCTTACCACTTGAGCTACTCTTGCAAACTATTTGCCCAGGGTCAGCTTCCAACTGTGATCTTCCTGATCTCTGCCTCCTGAGTAGGGAGGATTGTAGACATGAGACCGGCTCCTTCTTTCTTCAACAATTTTACTAAAATATCTTGGGATTGACTGTTTTAAGTTGATACTCTAAAATAGATGATTTGCTCTTTCAAAACGTAGCTTTCAGATCTTTTTCCAGGAAAGTTTTCTTGAACTACAATCTTCGTACCATCATCCTGCTTTGGTTTTCTTCTCCTGTCATCTGTAAGCTGGATCTGTTCTGACTATCTTCAATAGAAGTCATCTTTTCCCAATTTTCTTTCTTTCTTCACCCACTATTACTATAAGGCAGTATCTGTGGGATTTATTTGATTGTGTGCTCCTTGGCGTTTATCTCCAAAATAAATATTTTTAGTATTTCTAATTCTTTCGTGACTTCTGGTATCTTGTCTCTGAATTTTCCTAATTCAGGTTTATGCTGTTCTTTTATCTTCTGCATAA